CTCTGGTCTCGGGCTTCAGCCCCAGCTCTGAGCCCACCTCTCCAGGCGAGAGCCCTCGCCCCCCCTCCGTAGCGCGGGGATGGAAGGAAGGGGCTCAGGCGAAGCAGCCCCCGACGAAGTTGGCGGCGATGCTGACGCTCGCGGGGCCTTGCGGGAGCAGGCGCGGGTGGCGAAGCTCACCGAGGCCCAGAAAGCCGAGCGAGAGCTCCGTGAGGAGCTGCAGAAAGCAAGGGATGACTACAACATGGCCACAGGTACCATGGGGAAGGCGTCCAGAAAACCCACCGCTATCCTAGCTACCAGCTTCATCTTCTTGCGATGCTGCTCCCCTTACCTAGAAAAAATTCTAGGTTACGTTCCCATGAGCACAAAACCTGCTTTCGATTGTTGCTCACAGGGCGGGGCAGAAATACCACTTATTTTGAAACCACTTTCTCTGCCCCCTTAGAAGTGAAGTGCAAGAGGAAACCCTGCAGGGGAAGCCCTTGAGCGGCATTCTGGGGCGTCCAGCAGCGTTTCAGCGCTCTGGCAAACCTGTGCTTGTGTTACCAGCTCTATTAGTCCTCAGAGTAGCTCCTACCTCACACGATGACATTTTTAATATATATTGCAGCAAAGTACTATGAAACGCATTGTTAACCAGCAGCACTGTGGCTGCAGCATTAAACTTCACCCACGGTCTACACTCAGATGGTTACAACAGCTCCGCTTATGCCTACCTGAAAAAGATGCCACAAAGCTTTTGGCAGGGATTCGGTTTGCTTACAGTAGTACTCCAACCTTCCAGGTGCCATGTCTTCCTTGCAAAGACAACTGGAGATCCAAGAATCTCAGCTTCGGAGAACCAAATCTGAAAAGGAAATGCTCCAAAAGCAGCTCAGAGAGCGAGAAAATCAGCTACAAGCCATGTCTACCAAGGTACTGCCCTGAGAGTGTGGTGGGCATCGCTGTTAGGAGAGCTGGCAGCGGGGAATTCGGGCTTTATGCAACAGTTCCCTTTCTCACAGGCAGGAGGTGCACCTGTGAACTGCAAAACTGAAGTGTAAAATATTTTCTCTTAAGTTTTGCAGTCTGAGAGAAGAACGGAAACACGAAGAAATGATGGTGACAATAGAGAAGGAGAACTGCAGTCTTCGACAGGTAAATTCGGTGCTAAGCTGCTATAGAAAATTCTTGTATTAGCTGCTTAGTTGTGCTTGTTTTAGGCTTGGGGGAGTTTGCCACATAAAACCCGCCTACTCAATCCAGTAGTTTTAGAGAAAATGCCACGTAATAACAGTCACCAGTACTGGCAAGGTTGTTAGTCTGTGGACTCTGCCCAGGAAATACAAGAAGCATTTGGACCAGATCCTGGGACGATGCGGCCAAGCCTGCTCACTTTCTTCCTCATAGTAACAGCTCGATTTCTGTATCTCCTCAGGTTGTTACAGAACAAGAATCCAAACTGGCTGAGCAGAACAAGCTGATCAGTGAGTTACAGGGAACAGTCAGCCAGCTACAGGCAGAGGTTCTGACCAGCCGATACCACATCCACAAGCAGCAACGGGCCCAAGACGCGATCCAGAGCCAAGCTGAGACACTGCAGCACAGGGAGCTGCGAACTAGAGTGGCGCTCGAATGCATCACCAGCAGGGTAAGCGCAGCCTCCTTCACCTCAGACTCCTACCTCCCCCTTGGGAGACACTTCAACCATTTCAAGCAGGGAATCTGAAAGCTTAGAGACATTCTTGGGCAGAAGCACAGTGGGAGATGCACCAGGGCGCTGCAGTCCTTTGCCCTCGGGGCCTGGCTTCCCTTTGCAGCCACGGGGCCAGAGGAGCAGGAAACTCAGTCCATTTGCTTCCCAGCTTTTTAGCATGCAGCTCTTATGTCGCTTACAAAGCAAACAGGCCTCAAAGACCAGAAACCCTTGAGAAACTCGAGTTCAGAACAGTTACATCACCAGATTTCTAATAACCTTCCAGACTCAAAGTAACAGGTGTCACCTTAAAGCCATTTCCTGCAGGCATACCTGCCTGGTTGCAAGCACAGAGCCAGATACCTGGGTAAGGGACTCGCTCCACCCAGAAACGCATCATTATCGCAGTACTTGCAGTGAAGCCCAGTCAAACTGCCCGTAATTCACATAAACAGACTTTCCATTTCATCATTCACTAGTACTTTGTCCAAGTCTGACCATGTAGTTTCTGTAGATCCATGCAAATGCCAAAGAATTGTATATAAAGACTAAACACACCCACTTTCCTCTTTTATCAAAAGTTTGAAAGGTATCGAAGCAAAATAATTCAGGCTACATTCAGTACGGCAGGCAGCAGGCCTCCCCAGGCAGAGGTCACGGATGAGGAGGTGCTGGAGGCAATGCAGGTACGTGGCTCTTTCGAACCCTGCTTCTAGCAGCTGGCAAGGGACTGATGAGGTAAGAGAACACTCTGCAGTACTGCTCTCCACCTAACGGGTTCCCACCTCTTTATACGTCCCTAATTTTCAGAAAATAATTAACGAACGGATGGAGTTCCATCAGATGCTGAAACAGAAAGGCGTCAAGGTCCCATCGCTCTACAGCATCGACACGTCTACTTCATCGCCTACCAGTGCTAAGGGAAGGAGAAAGAGTCCTGCAAGGTAGCATCTTTTAACGCCTGAAAAGCAGCCCTAACGGCCGAGCCAGAATACGTCGCCAACTTCAGGCTCCTGTTCCTTGGTTTTGAGATGGTGACTTACTAACAAATTAAACTCATTTTACTGAAATAAAGTTCTGCGGGAATATCTGATTCAATTGTTTCAACCGACTCAGAGCACAATTCACTGTAAATCATTGGTCTGTAGAAACATTCGACTTCACAGGGAAGCTTGAAGCACTACTAAGGACTGCTTGGCTACAAGTAGCTAGAAAGCGCTAAGTTACCATTTTTGCAGTACACAATAGCTGCTTTGGCAAGTTTGTACAGTTACATGACTGGAAAATTCACCAATGCCAACACAAGTGACAGTGACGTATGACTGCAAGAACTGTTTTATTTTTCCATTCAATATGCAAGTCCCAACACGTGAACATATTTGACACGGTATCTAGAAGTTCAGTTAGAGCTCGCTCTCATTTTTAACAGAAAAAAGTCAATCTGTAGGTCACCCCAGCTTATGGAGAGGTTTGCATTCATACAGGTAGTAGCCTGGATGTAAAAGTCACCCACAGATTTATTAGACAAACATTAGAACCACTCCAGCTACCTGTATTCTGGAAGGTGTCCCCAACACTCTTCACATGGCAGTGTGACAAAAAGCCCCAGGAGGGTCACGCTAGGCGAGAGTGCTTATATTCTGGGGAGACAGGGAGCTTTAGTAGTGTCGATGTAAGGCAGCATTAGCTCTCTGAACAGAACTGAACTTCACGACCAAGAATAAATTCAGTGCTCGATCAACAGTAACTCAATGGGTACACAAGGTCACTACAACTGGCATTTCCACAAGGATGGATGATGGCTCTGAAAGGTACTGGGACACACAAACCCCTGCAGTCAATGCAACTGACTTCACTTAAAAACGGAAGCTGTGGTTTCTGGGTTCAGGCATTAACGTCACTTTAAAACTCATTCCTCAAGTTCTGACAGCAATTAAATTTTCACAATTACTCCAGATATAAAAATAATATTATGCAGAATGAGACGTTAGCAAAGTAGTTTTGCATTCTGACTTCAGTACTGGTACATAGCACGTGACTTAGTCTCAATGCTGTCACCTACTGGATTTCTCAGTTTAGCTGCCAAAATAATAATCCAGCTGAAACATACCAGGAAGAAATAGTGATCTTACAGAAAAATGACAGCACTCATTTTATAAATGCTAAGATGTCATAATGATTTTCTCTACAAGTTAACGCATTCTGACTTCAAATACCTTCTCTGCCTTTAAGTTCACATTTGAAGATGCTGTTATCTCTACCTAGTCAGAATGCTGATGACTTTCTATTAAGGCTGAAAGAATGCAATACTTCCTTGCCGTAGCTTGATCAAATTTTGAAGTTTTCACATACCCAGGCAGGATGCACTGCACCTTTTCTTTAAAAAAGGCAAACCACCTCACTGCGTACGAGTTGCATTGTTGAATACGGAAAAAAAAAAAAAGAGAATTGAATAATTTTCTTAGCTTTGCTAGCTGCTAACGTATTACAGTCAGAAGAGAGGAAACTGTGGTTAGGTCCATTTTTGAAGGGTAAAGTACTTTCAAGTTTCCATCTGTGTCCACCACTCGAACCTGCTCCACTACCAATGGAAAATTCATCGGCTGTACATTTTGGCTGGGGTTCAAATTCCCTGGTCCACAAAGAGCATCAGATTCATTATCCGAGCCCGAGTCTTCCTTATTTTCCAAGGTAAATCTGTTCAGTTCTGCAATTTTCTGTTAAAAGCAAAACACAGAAAACAAGATTAATTCTGCGGCTAAGCCCTCAGAGCAACTCCAAGTTGCTTCCAAGGTGTGGAACTGGCCAGCCTCTGGAGGAACATCTGCATGAAAACATTCTTCAGTGGGTTAGCATCTTTCAGGAAACCAAAAGGGCTTTTGATGTTATCACTGCTGTGCTCTCCAGGAGGCCCCGCTCCTTCTGAACAGTTTAATTTTTTGCGTTTATCACAGAACTCGGGCTTTGTCAAAGCACTGGATTCTAAGCAACAAGAACCTGCTGCAGGATTGCCGCCGACGAGTTTGCTTTCGGACCGTTTGAAATTGTCTCTGTTACCACCTTGTGTCCATGTTGTGGTTTAACCCGGCAGGCAGCTGAACACCACACAGCCGTTCGCTCACTCCCCCCACAGTGGGATGGGGGGGAGAATTGGGGGAAAAAAAAAAGTAAAATTCGTGGGTTGAGATAAAGACAGTTTAATAGGACAGAAAAGGAAGGGAAAATTATAATAATAAAAAAAATGATGATCAAAGAATATACAAAATAGGTGATGCACAATGCAATTGCTCACCACCCGCCGACGGATGCCCAGCCAGTTCCTGAGCAGCGGTCGTCGCCCCCCGGCCAACTCCCCCCGGTTTATATACTGAGCATGAGTCGTATGGTATGGAATACCCCTTTGGCCAGTTTGGGTCAGCTGTCCTGGCTGTGCCCCCTCCCAGCTTCTCGCTGGGAGGGCATGAGAAGCTGAAAAGTCCTTGACTAGTGTAAGCACTGCTCATCAACAGCTAAAACATCAGTGTGTTATCAACATTATTCTCATCCCAAATCCAAAACACAGCACCGTACCAGCTACTAGGAAGAAAATTAACTCTATCCCAGCGAAAACCAGGACAGTCAACTACACAAATCAGTTAGCCTTCACCAATGTGTTCTAAAGGTTATGTTAACCGGACAAGAAAAAAATACATTTATCTTGCAAAATATTTAACAGCATACTATCCTGTACTCACCACATACCAAGTTTTACCCTTTTCAGTAAGAAAGCTTTAATTAGAAGAAAACACGTTGAATGGCATTTAATGAGACTGTCCTGCTGCTAATACAGTATCTGAAAGATAATTCTGTAATAACAATAGGACCAAGCAAGCTAATCGTCAGGCAGGCTGAGGTGAAAAATCTCCCTAAAAGAATTTATTGGCAGCAATTGAAGCCGTAAGATCACTAACAAGGGGAAGGTGTTGAAAGTCAAACCATAAATTTCCAATTGTGGTAACACAACATTATTCACCCTGGTGAGTTTTGAGGTCTGCCAGTTAGTCGGGATACAAGAATATAAAAACCTTCTGCGATACAGCAAGAATGGAAGAGTAAGTGAAGGAGAGGGAAAAATACTAAAATAAAAATCAACTTCTGTATTCTTCTCAATACATGTGAGCAATTACATGTTTTGTTAAGAAGCACACCAAGAACAGACAGGATTGTTTTACTGAACTACTTACCAGAATTAGCATGTCCATGACATCTTTGCAGATCTGTAAACTGGTATCGCTTGTCACTTCCAGAAATAGATTACGGGTGTCTCTACTAATCTGTAAGAATTTCACAGGTAAAGCAAGTAAGGAATCAGAGCATACTCGCCCACGGTCACTTGGCAACATTTCAATACACAAACTGAATGACAGACTTTTATTCAATTCAACCAGAGGCAAAGTACTGCCTTTCTTTACAAGTCAAAAACCATATTCTTGCCCTTCAATAAAGCCATCTCCGCAAAGGCAGACTGGTGCCTTTGGAATAGCTCGCCAGAGCTTTACAGATTTACAAAGGTAAAAATATAACTTCAAGATCCAGCTCAATCTGACAGTCTAGCAGAGAAGATTCAGGTTTTGAAGATTTATATTTGGAATGAAATCACAAGTTTCACAGAACTGCACGTATCTTTGAATCTGGAGTTAAATATCTCTCAGTAGAAAGAAACGCTGTTTAATTCTGATTAATGTATTAACATATTAATTCTGATTAACATATTTCCACTAACAGAGAGTACCTTTGTTTTCTCACTATTGGTTATTGGTGGGAAAGAAATCACAATGCCTTCGGCATCCACGAGACACGGGTAGTTATCTTTGCCATCCAATAACTGGAGATACCTGCCATGAAAAACAAAGACGCAAAAACCGAGCAACTGAAACAGCAGCTGGACGCAACGGCAGAAAATTGGGACAAAACCGAATTAGTGTGTTCCTGATCTACCACGTAGCAAAAACAGAAGTCGGAGCACTAAAATTCAGCAAAACGGTATCATAGTGATACAGCTGAGGAAGGCCACCAGCTGCAGGAAGCGATGGGCTAGAACCATAAAGTAACCTACATTTTAATATCCATGCTGTCAAAGTAGATAGACATGCTTCTAGTGCTTTCAGAGATCCCAGTGCTCAAACAGGAAAATCAGAGTCCACTGTCTGATTCTTCCAGACAGCTTACTTAATTTTCCCTCTTTCTTACTATGGCGATATACAGTTCTCCCATCATGTACTTGGCAAATTTCCCCAAGCCATACGAGCGACAGATATGGGCGGTCATCTCTGCACGAGCAGTAAACAGAACAGGGCAGTACCACACCCTGCTTTGTCGTTCATCTGTTACCACGTGCAGATTTACCGCACCTCTGATTTGCTTAGTTTATTGAATGTGCACGACATACACTTCATTCCTCATTTCCTTTCTATTTGCTATTCTAAATATATCTGTCACCTCTAAGAATAATTCGTATGACCAGAATTTACTCTTGATGCAGCTGGAAGTAACAGAAGGAAGGCACTCATCCTCCTCATTTTACTCCAGGTTACTCTTTACGTATAAATACAGCTCAGTGTTTTTCATCTCAACTCCTAAAAGCTCGCGCTGGGTTTGTTAGCCCCATCGCCATTACAGAACATGCTTCATAATACATTCGAGCACATTTTCTTCAGTGCTGTTTTTCCACGTGAGTTACCAAAATTCACATGAAGAAAAGCCACAAAAGATCAGTATACTGACTTGTGCAACCCAGAAACATTCTGACGCTTCTTCTGTTTCCTCTGCTCCTCAGCTTCTGACTGCAGCTGATGGAGAAGATCCTTTGCCTTGATCTCCTTTCGACCCAGGGGCATTATCTACACCGTACAAGAAAACAAACGTTTGAGTTTAAGAGTGACTCAAGACCAGGGTTGTTAAAACTCTCCTGTAAGCGAGGCAATAATTAAAACCATACTTCTGTATGCTGTCATTCCTAACACCTTATTCAGTATGGGAATACACTTTCTATTTCACATGGACTGCTATGATCACAGCGAGTTTAAACCTCTGCGTGAGCTCCAACACCCACCTGAAAAACAGGCTCATTTGCTAGTACTAAATCAGGCGTGGACAGTTTCCTTAGCCAGTTCCTTCACTGTCGTTACCTCCTGAATAATGTGAAAACCTGCTGTCTCGTAACAGAAGCCATGGACGAAAGGCTCTGTGAGCCATCAGGAAAACGAAGAATTCATTCCCGAGGACCATGCCATGTGCATGGAACAGTTGCAAACACAAAGTGTCTAGAGAGCAGAATGCAACAAAAACTTTGGGTCAGCCCCAAAGAGTCAGAATATCCTGACTGTTCGGTCCTCCAGTGAGGTGGGTTCTGGAGGCAGGATATCAATGGACAGACTGAAATAGGCCTAAATAAATAAGGATGACAAATTTGAAGTATCATTTTTGTATTCTGGATTGAAGTTACAAGTACAGTCTAAGAGCTTGTCACACAAATATACTGCAAGCTTTTTTTTTCCCCCCCTCTTCTTTGAAAGCAGCAACATAAACAACTCAAGACTGGGTAAATAAACAGAACCTGAGTTGATTTTAATTAGGTTACCTTGAAGGCTGCTGCCATTCGAGGTGCACTCATACGACTGAGCACCTGCCTTGCTGTATGACACTCCAGGCACATCCTAACATATACGGACCTCCAGGGAACATTAAGATGGTAAGACCACAACGCAGGAGAAAGGGTCAACACTGAAACACCAATACCTCAGTCACCCTAAGCCAAGGTACACATTAAGCAACATCAGAATGTTTGTAGAGAAAAAAACCAAAACAAACCCTGCATCTGCTTTCCATGATTACTTTAAGTCCTCAGACAGATGCACTCATAACTGGTCCTGGAGTAAAACTAGGTAGCTCTGTGAGGCTTGTTCAAGCAGGCTTTGTTACAGCAGGATAGCAAGAAAGTTAGCACAGCTTTGAAATTAAAGTTCCTGGAGTTAGTTTTACGAGCATCTACAGGGTAAAAAAATTCTTTCCATTCTACAGAGTTCCAGAAAGCAAAAGGAAAAAAATTGGAAAGGCCCACCAATGCCACTGGCCCTACCTTCAGTTCATCAGGAGGCTGAACATCATATACCAGAGGACCTTTGATCAACTGCAAGTCGTGGGTGGCAATTGTGGCTGCTGTCCGCTTTTCACAGATGTCTTCGTGCAGTTTAGTCTAAAATGTAAAAGAATGCCATCAAATTATATCAAAAACTTCAACATGATTTATTCCTCCAAGGGTTCAGATCCTTCTATATTTAGCGTTTGCAGCATTGTCAGCTAGTTGAGTAACCCTTTTGCATTAAATGGAGCCCTTCTTTTCACCCGCAAAATAATTTTATATGGATTACAAACCAAACATAAAGATATTGAAGGACAGCACGCGACATGTTTCTCAACGGGGAGATAAACAGGTTTAAATCAGAGAACAATCACAAGTACGTGAGTCTCATAATCTGAAAGAAGCTAACACCTGCACCAAACGGACAGGCGAGCAGTATGCCAGGTGGAAGGTTAGGCGTGCAAGACAGTTTTAGCTCACATTAGGGAACCTGGAGCCAAACCAAGGTACGTTGGTACCGTGGACGTGGGTTTACTACTAGTTCTGAACAGGTTCCACGGCACTAACAAGCTGTCGTTACAGAGGCAACGCAAATGTGCGTGCGTTCATCGCCCTCTCGTGGCAATATCTCAGCTCCTACTGGGTTCTTCATCAACACCAGTCTTACTCATTACAGAGCAACCAGGCGGCACGCCGCTGGCAGAGGCCACGCCGCAGTGCCATCCCGCCGTACCCTCACCACCTGCTCGGTGAAGAGTTCACTCCAAGTTTCAGAATCTTATCTGCTGGAAGGAGCCTAGAACAGTCCGTTTCCAACGCTGCTAGCAACGTTCCTGTTGCAAATGAGTAACACAAGACCGCAGCAATTACCTGCACGGACAGGAACCTCTTCAGAGCGTTTCCCGCCTTTAAGTTCACTCCCTTCAGCACGCAGCACACAATGAAGGGTCGAACATCTTTGACGCCCGGGCTCGCTTTGACCACCAAGGGCGCAGGGTTTTCGGAAACGTGCAGAACCTTCACCAGCAGCTTGCTCGCCTCCTCCAGCTCGTCCTGCTCCCCATCCCTGCCATCCTTCTTCTGCTGCTTCTCCCTCTTCTTCTTCCTGGCCTCCTCTCTGGCACTCTCGGCCTTCCCCTTCCCACGGCCCCCGGCCCGCAGGTACTCCAGGATGGCCTTCGTCTGGCAGCCGTTGACCATCTTCTCCAGCCGCTTGTCCTTCAGCTGGTTGCCCCTGAAGTTGGCCTCCTTCAGCCGGGGGCAGTCGGCCAGCGCGGCGGGCAGCTCCCTCAGCTGGTTGTTGGCCACGTCCAGGCTCTGGAAGAGACAGAGA